ATGTCCATCAATTATCAAATAATATGCGACATCTAATTGGAATAAATGGCTCCAACTGTTTTAAATCCGAGCTCAAACAGTGATTGGAATGTGTTAAATGCTCTAATTTATCAATGGTCAATTTGCAAAACTTGCTAAATATATTTTTTTTCCCTGGAAATCAACTGTTACCTTTTTTTTCTTAATTTTACTTTTCATGTTACTTATTCAGTGAACAATCCAAAAAAGTCTGCCCCGACACTCAATGAAACATTTCTTGGTTTGCTCTATCCAACGGAAAACTACAAAGTGTAAGTATACTCATATACTTAATTCCCTATGAAGTTTACTGATGAAAATTGGATTAGAGAGAACAGAAACATAGGATGAAACTCATACCTTATCATTATTGAGGGTGAAAATATTGTGTGGCTGTTAATTTCATCTTTCCATTTGCAAATGCTCTCAGCTCTCATTGTCTGCTTGTTTTCAGGTATGGTTATTTAACTAACACCAAGGTGAAGTTCATAATGGTAACAACAGATCTCGACGTCCGAGATGCAGATGTGAGAAATGTAAGTGTTTCAAAACACTGATGAATTTACTTCTCTTTTCCAAATTAATTAAGCTAAATGTACATAATCTTTGACATAGGGGTTGACCGACCACTCACATTGCATGTGGGTCACGACCTGAATTAAATAATGCCGACCTCCCCATATGTGTGTATTGTGTCATCCCCTATGTCAAGCATTATGTTTGTGTAGCAAAACTCTTTCCACATTATCACGTTAAGTTTTTAACCCTTATTAACAGATATTGGGTATAGTGAGGTTCAAATATAATTTCCACATAAAGAGTCCTTTTAAAGTTGCTGGGATTAATTTAAATTTCTGGTTTGATCCCTTTCTCTCATTTGATTTTGTAACAATCGGGGGCTGATCTAGCACCCGACGAGTCGGCGCGGCCACCCGGGCTGGATCCGTTGGGGAAAAAAAATTAATGAAGTTAAAGAATTATATATATTGTACAAACATTCAATTAAAGGGCGTGTAAATTGTATGGTCGCGTGTTCGCTATGGCATCCAAGATACACAGGTTCGATTCCCTTCAACAACACTTCTCCTTTTAATTTTTAAACACGGTAAATAATAACTAAATCTTAGTATATAATTGTACTAACCTTCAACAAAAGGGAGGATAGCTCATATGGTAGAGAATTCATTTTGTATGTAAAAGGTATGGGGTTCAATTCCATGTCTATTCACTTATTTGTTTAATTTTTTTATACAATAGATAATAACTAAACAATTATATATTCTTATTTTTCATTTTCGAAATAATTTCTTTAAAAAAT